CACTTCCATTGTAAGTTTCTGGCTTGTGTTAGTTTCCATGAATAAAACCTTTTGGGCAGGTTTAAACAGTTGGAGTAAAATGAGAGGTGAAAAGAAAGTTGGTTAGTGAGAAGAACTGGGTTGGAATGGGAGACAGAAGGAAACGGGAAGAGATATCAGCCTAGGCTGGTCTCAAATTCCTGGCCTCAAGTGATCCTCCTGCCTCAGCCTCTCAAAGTGCTGGTATTACAGGCATGAGCCATCGCATACAGACTTCTTCTTAAAAAAAAAAAAAGAGAGAGAGAGAAAGAGAGAGGGGAGTGCTGGCTGAGGCGGCTCATGCTTGTCTTAGCACTTTGGGAGGCCGAGGCAGGTGGATCATTTGAGGTCAGGAGCTCAAGACCAGCCCCGTTAACATGGTGAAACCTCGTTTCTACTAAAAATACAAAAAAAGTTAGCTAGATGTGGTGGCACACACCTGTAATCCCAGCTACCTGAGAGGCTGTGGTGGGAGGATTGCTTGAACCTGGGAGGTGGAGGCTGCAGTAAACCAAGCCTGCGACACTGCACTCCAGCATGGGTGACAGAGCAAGACTCAAATTAAAAAAAAAAAATCATTCATTCATTCATTTTTGTAGAGACTAGGTCTCACTATGTTGCTCAAGCTAATTTTGAACTCCTGGCTGCAAGCAATCCTTCCACCTCAATGGGGCTTCCCAAAGTGCTGGGATTACAGGTGTGAACCACTGTGCCCAGCCTTGAACAACTTCACTGCCTGCCAAAATCTGCTGACTGATCTTATTAACATTTTTAGTAATATATCATAAATTGTTTTTAAAAATAGGTCAAATAGGTCAGGTGCAGTGGCTCACGCCTGTAGTCTCAGCACTTTGGGAGGCCGAGGTAGGTGGATCATTTGAGGTCAGGAGTTCAAGACCAGCCTGGTTTTTTATAGAGATGGGTGAAACCCCATCTCTATAAAAAACACAAAATCAGCTGGGTGGTAGTGGCAAGTGCCTATAAACCCAGCTACTACAGAGGCTGAGGCATCAGAATCACTTGAGCCTGGGAGGCGAGCGTTGCAGCGAGCCAAGATCACGCGACTGCACTCCGGTCTGTGTGACAGAGACCATGTCTCAAAAAATAATAAAAATAATAAACAAATAAATAATAGGTCAAATAAAGTGATTAAGGATCAGACACAAAATGATCAAGCTGAAACAAAACTCATTTACCTTCAATATTTCCTGAAAAATGATGTTAAAACAGGGTGAAGTATAGAGAAATGTTGAAAAAAACCTGCCTTCTGTGAGTTATATGACAGAAATTCAAAATGTAAACAAGAAACTGTCTACTATATGATCCAGGAATTCCACTCCTTGATGCCTGCCCAAGAGAACTAAAAACATGTCCACACCTAAACTTGTACACGTCACAGCAGCATTATTCGCAATAGCCAGTGGGTGGAAATAACACAAATGTCCATCAATAAATGATAGGATAAACAAAATGTTGTATATATCCACACAATGGAGTATCATTTAGCCATAAAAAGGAATCACATGTTAGGTTGATGCAAAAGTAACTGCGTTTTTTGCAAGTAAAAGGAATGGCAGAAACCGAAATTACTTTTGTGCCAACCTAATACATGCTACAACATACATAAAACTTGCTAAGTGAAAGAAGCTGGGCAAAAAGGTCACATATTGTATGATTATTTTCATATGAAATTTCAAAATAAGTAAGTCCACAGAGACAGAAAGTATTATACATTAGAGGTTGCCAGGGACTAGGGTGATGGGGGAATGGAGAGTGACTGCTAATGGGTATGTACTTTCTTTTTGGGGTGGTAATAAAAATGTTCTAAAATTTGATAATGGTGATGGTTGTAGAACTTTGTGAATATACTAAAAACCACTTAATTGTACAAGTTTTAAAAGCTGGATTTTGTGGTATGTGAATTATATCTCAGTAAACCTGTTATAAAAGAAAAAAAGAAGCTGCCACTTATGGGACAGAAAGCATTAATCTGATTATATCTAAATTTAAATTAAGTAAATAAATGCCTATATGACAACACTCTACTAATATATTACAAGAAATATAACTTTAAAAGTATTTCCACTGTTATGTTATAATCAGTCAAAATAAAATCTTTCCTATATTCTATAGTAGACACCAGCTCAAATTAAAGGGATGTAAAATTACATTCAATACCTCCATAATAAATGGCATCTGCAAAAGTAAACGGAAGGAACAACATAAGTATTCAGTAAAATCTCCTAGTAGAAATCAAAATCTACCTCTAAATTGATAAAAACTCTAAATTACAGAACATAAATCTCCTAGGTAGAGGAAACAGTTCTCTAAACAATAATTTCATACCATAACACAGTTTAATATTCAAAGACCATAACTAGTATGAAGTGAAAGTTAAACTTAGTTTCAATATTGCAATTTAAGTGATTGCGGTGGCAATAGAGCACAGTGACTAAAAGCAGAGGCTTCGTTTGAATCCTGGTCTTCCAATTTGTTAGCTATGTGATCTTGAGGAAGTTATTTAATATCTCTTAAGTCTCAGTTTCATCAAAATAGGATGGAATCCATTAAGGTGACAGTTAAATGATATAATGCTTACAAAGTAGTTAATAAAATCCCAGGCACATAGTCAGAAGTTCGAAACATGGGAGCTTTTATCATTAGTTATCTATGGCTTCCACTATATGCTGCAGCTTCTTAGAGCTTTCATAGCTATCTCAGACACTGGCTCTCATATAAACCACAGACACAGACCAGCTTCCTAGGAAGTATATAGTCTTTGCAATGTAAACATAATATTATCGTTAATGGTGATAATTAAGAAATGATAACTGCAGATAAAAATGTTTTAAAAATCACATTTTCGATTTCTTTTGTATTTTCTACTATTTTTAGCTGAATATAGTCATTCTTTAACAATACCTTAATGAAAGAGGAAATAAATGAACGAACAAAATAAACAAATGAAGAAAGCAGCAAGCAATGAAATAAAGTGGGTAACCATTTCCCAGTCCCTGCTAAAGCAGTATGATTTGAACAATCTAAGCATCTGCTGGCTGTGGCCTTTAGAGGGTGACTATGATCATACTCGAGGTGTTAGGGTCATGTAAAAGAACTGCATATGCCCCACTAAAACTGGAGCTCCATCCTAATAATATTCAAGTTGAAGTGTATCATGAACTATAACAAATTCAGAAATTGAGCACCCTAATAAGAAAAGCTTTACAATTCAATAAAACCTCTACAGATTATTTATTCTATCTCTATCTGAATGTAATGGAATGAACATGGAATCCACAAACTTTAAAAACAGTCTATTTTATAAGTAAACATTACCTATGTAATATCCTAAGGAAACACTAGTATAAAAACAAAGTTTTCATAACAATGAAAAATAGAGAAATCAAACTGAGTTCTTCTGAGAGCAGAAAGATATTTCTAGTGCTTTCTTTTCAAAATTAAGGTGTTTGCTAAGCTAAATTTCTGATATGAATTGAAAGGAAAAATATGATTTACAAAGGCCGAATAATTTAACAACTAAATTAATAAGGCTCTGTTAACTGTCTAAGGAATAGCAAGTCATAATACCCCTAATAACCCAAAAGGAAGTCCAATTGAATGGAATAATGACTATCTTTTGCACTTTTGAATTCAGGTATAAGTTGTGAAGAAGCAATGCTAAAAAAAAAAAAAAATCCATAATGAAAATCTTCTTAAGAGATTTGAAAAGAGGCCAGGCACAGTGGCTCATGCCTGTAATCCCAGCACTTTGGGAGGCCAAGGTGGGCGGATCACTTGAGGTCAGGAGTTGAGGCTGTGGGAGCCCGACAGGACACCAGCCTGGCCAACATGGAGAAACCCCGTCTCTACCAAAAATACAAAATTAGCCAGGCATGATGGCGCATGCCTATAATCCCAGCTACTCGGGATGCTGACGCAGGAGAACTGCTTGAACCCGGGAGGTGAAGGTTGCAGTGAGCCGAGATTGTGCCATTGTATTATGGCCCAGGTAACAAGAGCAAAACTCCATCTCCAAAAAAAAAAAAAAAAAAAA